TTCTTGGTCGCAAGATCTTTCATAAACTTGGTATAATCATGCATTTGTTCCAAAGATTCTACCAATGACATATTAGTTGAGAGACTTTTCATCATTTGAATGAACTTCTTGAATTGATTCTCAACATTTTTCTTGGCAAGCCTTTGAGGATATGGAGGTAGAGTCTTAGACAATGGTGTCTTAGCCTTTTATACTACCGGCTCCGGTACGTCAATGATGTGCTCCCTAGACGGGTTCACCTCCTATTGAGTCTTTTCCACACTATCATCAATGTCCATCTGAACCTTATCACTTGATTGAACATCATTGTTTGGTATTTCCTCCTCTTGCATCATATGGTCATCATCCACAAGTCACCCTTCACTTGAGGTGGGTGCATTACCGCCTCTTCCACTTCTTGTGATAACTGCCAAAGCATGTCCCGTATTGTTACCACCCTTTGGGTTTACCACCGTATCACTTGGTAGTGCACCATTAGGACAAGTATTAAGAGCTTGAGAGATTTTCCCTATTTGAACTTTAAGATTACGGATTGATGTGGTATGTGAAGCAAGTTTGGCATCTGAATCGGCATTCTTCTCCATCATTTGCTTTAACATGTTCTCAATTCGAACCATCTCATTTTTTGAAGAACTTGAACCATGGAAAGGATGAGGAGGTGAGTTGCTAGGTTGTTGATACATTGGGGGGCCTTTGAAATCTGACCCCTGATTTCCTTGATTGTTATTATTTCCCCAACCACCTTGATTGTCGCCTCCCCAATTTCATTAGTTGTTTCCACTCCAATTTTCTTGGTTGTTGTTGTTGTGACAACTTCCTTGATTGTTAGAATTTCCCCAACCACCTTGGTTATTTTGTTGTCGCCATTGTTGTTGATTGGAGCCTTAGAAATTGTTCCTTTGCCCTTGGTAATTGTTCACAAATTGTACCTCTTTATCTTGCTCATGATTAGAATTATCTTGATCAAAAGTACCACCATCTTGTGCATAACTCTCCATTCAGGTTTGAAATTGTGGACCTTTGGTCCTCTTCTTGTTGAGCAACACATTTACCCCTTCCATAACATGAACTTGCTTAGGATCTTGAACTTGATTAAGTTGGGCCTTGGCGAGTTGATTTATAGTAATTCTCAATTTGGTAATGTCTTGCCCATGGTCTATCAACTCTTTGTGGAAGTGAATCATGTTGGTATCATCTTGTGGAACATTAGCTCGAGATTACCAAACCGAAGACGTTTCTGCCATCTCATCAAGAATCTCACATGCCTCCGCATTGAGTGTTGTCATAAAATTTTGTCTGGCCAATTGATTGACCATACATTGGTTCGTAGTATTAATTCCTCGATAAAATTGTTGTTGGATTATGTTGTCGATCATATCATTGTTCGGGTAATCCTTCACCATTGTCCGATACTGCACCAAAAATTTCATGCAAAAGTTCATTGGGCTCTTGCTTGAAAGCCAATATTTCATCCCTAAGAGTAGCCATATTTCCAGGAGAGAAAGACTTAGCAATAAATTTTACCACCAATTTATCTCAAGTATGGATATGATTAGGCAAGCATTCCAACCAATCCAAAGCTTTACCCCGTAGAGAAAAGGAAAAAAACCCTTAGCCTCAAAGCATCTTCCGAAACATTTGATTGCTTGCTCCCCTAACATATATCCACAAAGCCCTTTCAAATGTTTATAAGCATTTTGATTTGGCGCACCGGTGAAAGAACCTCGTTGCTCTAGCAAAATGAGCACCACATTGGTAATTTGAAAGTGTTTCACCCTAACACGAGGGGGACTATTGCACTTGCGCAACCTTTGTTGGGCAATATCCGGTATTGCGTCGTTTTTGGTTGTGGTGGTGGAGGTGGGGGAGGTGGGGGCACGTTGTCTTATTGACCACGGCCCGACGATTCGGTTATGGCACTTGAGGTATATCATCTAGTTGTTCCTCCTCGCCGTCCAACTCACCAGTGACATATTTTTGAGCTCATTGTTTGCCATTTTGTACCTACGATTGCTTCAACAAATTAGTAACACGGAAGAAAAAGAAGACATTTCAAGAACACACTCAAATAGATAGACAACACCGTAAAAACTCCCCAACAACGACGCCAAAAAGTGATCCACGTCCAATAGTGAGTGAAAACGGTCGTTGCAATTATAATGCCCAATTAAAATCGGGGTCGAATTCCTCAAGGAGTTTATGAAGGCTGTTAAGGTAGATACTTAAAAAGAGCACGTTAAACAACTCAACTACGTTTCCAAACAGAGGGTAATTGTTTTTCAAATTAACACTAAGAGACTTAAGCTAATTAAAGGTAACTAGAAAGAGAATAATTATTTTTGGTGTTTTTAATCAATTGAAAAAAAGCCTAAGGTTATAACCTTCACCTCCGTGCAAACCTAATGGGTAAACTAAGTTAATGTTTATTTTGTGGATCGGGGTGTATTATAACTTTCAATTCTCAAGTACCCACTCAATACTTCTGGGTCATAGAATGGTTATGCCCAAATTGGATTTCTCAAGTCCAATTGGGTAACAACCCAAATAATTGATATGAGTCCAAGTCGGGTCTTCCCCATCTCTAGTTCAAACCCTTTAATTAAGCTAGTCAAAAACTTAACTAGCTTAATTTCTTGTTAGCCAAGTTTTTCTAGACTAGGTTCCTCTTTCTCAAGTAAGAACTACATCAAATAGGCATAAATCAATGTTTGCAACCATTAATTCTAGAAATAATGCATAAACAAGGATAAATAATAAACACACAATCATAAACAAGTAATAATATTAATAACCCATAAGGTTTACACACTAGGATATGATCATAACCCTAGATAAAAATCTAGCTACTCATGCTAGAAAGCAAAGAAAACAAAGTAGAAAATGTAATTAAAGCCATAAACTATTTTAAAATAATAAAACTAATTATTTTTCACCAATATTTGTCACTACTTTCCCAAAAGGATAAAATATAACCGTTGCAGCTCTTTTGAATACAAAACTTACCCTGAAAAAATGTTTTCTGTCTGTTTATAGTGCCTAGAAATTCATTGACAAAAATGTCGTTCAAGAGATTCTGCGGCCGCACAATACCATGTGCGGTCCGCACTTTGCTTCTTCTCATGAGGTTGGAGGAATTCTGCAGCCGCACAATTCCATCTGCGGCTGCACTTTAGCTTTTGCGGCCGTACTTCTTGACCGCGGACGCACTTTGACGAGGCTTCACGCTTGGTCTTTTTGCACCTTCTCTAAACTTTTCAAATCTTGTTAGTGCGACTAGCTTTTGTGGCCGCACAATTTGGTGTGTGGACCGCGCTTATAAAAACTCCTCTGAGGCTTCAGGTTTCTTTCTGCGGACCGCACTTTGGCCTGCATATCTCCTTCTTGCCTTTTTAAGCTGGAATGCTTTTTTTGAGTTAGATTTCTTCGTTTAGCTCCAATCCTCCATCTTGCCTGCAAATCATATGATTTTGTTAGTTTTGGGAACAAAAATCAATACTTTCGTACTAAAACTAAAGTAAGAAGGTACTAATAAGTGGTTAAAATCCACACTTATTAGTAAGCACTTTTACTGTTAAATGACTAAAATATCCTTAAAGTTGTTAACACTAAAAATGAGCTGATTATTACAATATCCTTAATGTAAAAATAACTCAAATACAGACTAATTTATGTCTTAATTAACTCTAAATTAAATTAATTAGATAATATTATTTTTAATAAATATAAACAGAATGTCAATAGAATTGCAACATGCTTTTGTTCTGAATATTCAACTGCTAAATAAAATTATTTGTTTCTAGAGTGAAATGAAAAAAACATAAATATAGAAGTATAAATTAATGCCAATAAAACTAATGGCTCAGCTTTTGCGTCATTTCTTTCTTTTCCTCTGCTAGTTCTCACATTTGTCTAATGTCTGGTAATTAAGGTTCTTATTAATTACTTATCACAGATAAAACAAAGCTACCTAATTTATTATAATAATATATGAAGGAAGATACCTGCGTCGTCAAAATGGAAGACGAGAAAAAATGACGTTATGACTTAATTAGTAAAGTAAGCATTTTGAAATTTATAAAAAATAGCAGGGATAATAAGGTCAATTATTTGATCAAACATAAAATGCTTTAAGCTTTAAAAGTTGTTTTTAGGTTTCCCAAACACTCAAAGAAGGCAAAATGTGTTTTTAAACTGTTTGACTAGCTTTTAAGTCAATCCAAAATGAAAGAGGGTTTAGAGTTTGTCTATGTTTTTAGCCTTTTTTTTTTCAATAAAAAATAATTCACTCAAAAGTATTCATATATTGTGTTTCAAATTATCAATTAGACTAATGTACTATATATTAAAAAAAACAATGGATACTATCAACATACTCCCATACAGCACGTCTAAGGACTAACGTTAATTTAGTCATTGGTTTAGTCAAACTGTTCTCTTTTTGTTTTTTCTTTTTCTTTTCCCTGTTCCAATAGTCAAAGCATCTACGTGAGCTAAACGTTTCTATTTAAGGCAAGATAAAATTAATATTTATTCTATCTATTACTTACACCATAGATAGAATATTTAAATATTAATTTAAATTTTCTTAATTTAATATTTAAGGGGAAACTTTGGACATTGTAAATTTTTGGAGGTCATGTAAATGAAATTTAAGAAAAAAGAAATTACAAATAGGCTGCATTTTACACTCTTCTTCAAATTTGCTCCCGCTGCGTTTGTCTACTTCTCAGATTATCGCAATTCCGACGCTCTTTTGTTTTTTCCCCGTCGACTCTCCGGCTAGGCGATGTACTGATTTATCACGCTTTTTTGCTCACAGTTCGCTTAATCGTTTTACCTTGCTTCTGCCTGCGATTTTTTGCAGTGCTTTTCTATACATCGGTTTTGTTTGTGTGTGGTGGTGGTGGTGGTGGTGGTG